CACACACACCTCTCTCTTTCTCTCTCTCTCTCTGTCTCTGTCTCTTTGTCCACCCAACTATTACGCGAAAGCTAATTTTATTTTTTTGTTTTTTCATTAATTTATACATCACACCTGTCACCTGTGTAATTTCAATCATTTTCATCGTAGCACACTCGTTCACATAACCAGCTGTATTCTCCAATCCAATTTCTTTTTTTTTTTTTTTTTTTAATTTAACAAACACGCGTACGGACGATCGGTAGATTTTTGTTTGTTTTTGTTTTTAATAAACGGGGTTGTCACATAAAGTAAAATCTACCCCTTTATTGATAAGATTTTCTTGTAGGAAAATGCTTTGATGCTTTTTTAATATGCATGCATGCTGCATATATATATATATATATACTTAAATGTATAAGATATATTTATTACAAATATACACACATACGCACATTATTTACACGTATTTTAGTCAACGTTAGATAGTGTTCAAAATTTAGTAGTAAATGTTGTGCTCCAAAAAAATATAAAAACGCGACTTTCATGAACTATTTTCTTCATTCGTTCAATTATTTTAAAAGTGCACGCGATAGTTTAGGTGGAATGAATGATTTTTGCCATGTCAATTTTTCTATCTCATTCAGCTTTATTTTTTAATTTCAAATTGAATCCTTTATTATTATTATTATTTTTATTATTATTATTATTATTATTCACGTAAGTTATCAAAGAGCGAGCAAGCTTATTGCGTTCGTTGCTGCTTTCGACGTTTATTTTATAACAAATAATTGAAACAACGAGAATACATCGATTATCTCGTTTTTAAACAAATTAATATTACACACAGAAAAAAAAAAGAAGAAGAAGAAGAAGAAGAAAAAAATTTAAATTATAATCAATTAAACGATATCTGATCGAATAATTTTTATGTTCAATTACGTTTTATATAAATATATTATGAATCAGATATAAAAATCATGCCAAAATTAGTTACAATTTTAAATAATAATAAATATTATAATTAAATACAAATGATAATCGATGATCTCGTCTAGTATCCCATACATAAAAAAAAAAAAACCTAAAACCCCACCCTCGATTTACTAAAAAACGTGACAACCCCGTTTAACGTTCACTTGCATGAAAATTACACGGATCTTTTGAAACCATTTCAATGTTTTCTTATCATTTTTACTTATTATTATTATTTTTGATTGACAAATATTTCTAATAATCGTGTAAATAATTTTGGAACGTTTTAATCGTAAAAAAAAAAAAAAAAAAACAAAATTCGTTTGTACCAGCAAGAAACACTACCACCAACCCCCTTGTTTTTTCTTTTTTTCTTTTTCTTTTTCTTCGTTCGAAAGCATCCGATGCTCACACTATCCGGGGACTCGTGATTGAGTTTTGGCTTCGTTCGTTTTTTGCGTTGCTTATTTAGTCTGTGTATTATTTTGTATAGAACGCAGTGCGACACAACCTGTCTCTCCACAAATGTTTCATGCGAGTCGAAAATGTGAAAGGCGCCGTATGGACGGTGGACGAAGTGGAATTTTACAAGAGACGTCCTCAACGCGCTTGCAGCACGACCGGGTACGTTACCCCCTCGCCAACCAACCCCCATTCTTATCACCATCCAACTCTATATATCTATCTTTCTTTATCTCTCTCACTTTACGCAAAATTTATTATCAATCGCGTTTTTTAACACATCTCTTTTTTCTTAATATATAATATTTAAATATATATATATATGTATATATGTATACTTTAATCATAGTCATATATATTTATACATATATATATATATATACTATTTTTTATCTATTTACTCTTATCTTACTCTTTACCTTTATCTATCTCTTTCTATCTTTCTATACTTTTCATTTATAATTCAACTAACAATCTTCAATCCCATTTATCCACACATCCTCCTATTTACGATCCATTTACATATATATATATATTATCTATTACATGTTTTTTCTATCTTTCTATATGTATCTATCTCTCTCTCTTTCTCTATCTCTATCTCTCTCTCTCTCCTTCTATCTTCTATCTCTTTCAATCTATCTTTTTCTATATGTATATATATATTTATATATAAACATTTTTCACACATTCTTTTATACTCGCTTTATATTTCTATACTCTTCTTCTTACTGTTATTATTATTATTATTATTATTATACATAACCATCCCTCTTTGAATTTATATAACTAACAACCCCTTTTTTTCTAATCTATGATCAACCCTATTTTACATACCACTTTTTCTAACATTTTTTACATATTTTATATATACTATATAATTATATATATATACACGTCTGTATTTTTATATAGTGTTTTTCTATATATTTATATTCATATACTTTCTATCTATCTATCTATCTATCTATCTATCTATCTATCTATCTATCTTTATATATATATTATATATACTTTTATATAGTTCTTAATGTCTGTTTTGAAATATTCGACGTATACTACGACAGGTGTGTGCACGTGCACCTATTTCTAATACGTGCGCGTGCACAAACCCTCGTGTGTGTACGTATACGCACATACACGCACGCTCCTTCTATGCCTTTTTTTAATTTCCTTTTTTAAATCCTTGTTGTTGTTGTTTTTTTTTTTTGTTAATTTTTCTTTTTTACTTACATCAAATCATTTACGACAACTCTAAGTCGTCTCTCGTAGTATATATATATATATATATTTTTGTTATAGATATATATGTATATATATACATGCATTTATATATATGTGTAATATAATCTTCATAATCTTTTCACATTTCTCTCTTTCTATGTGTGTGTGTTTAACTTCTCACTTTCTTTTTTTTTTTTGATTGATTGCATGTAATTTTTCTAAAAAAAAATTTTTTCAACATTTTACGTAGATCATTCTTCTACACGTAGACAATATATTTTTATTAACAATTTTTCTATCTTATGCACAGCTTGTGTATTGAATTTTTTTTTTTTTTATCTGCAAACTAAACATAAATTTTCTAAGCTTGATACGATCATCTCAAATTAATAATCTTCTATACAATTAACTGTAAAAATTAGACTGTGTACTGACTTAGTAGACTGATTGATTTTTCTGTCTTTCTATTTTTTATTTAATTTTTTTTTTTAATTAATTGAACAAAAGTATCGCGTACAAATAAAATTTTACTTAGTCTTGCTTACATTTTTTCTCTCTCTCTCTTTCTGTCTGCCTGTCTGTCTGTCTGTCTGTCTGTCTTTCTATTTCTCTTTCTGTCTGCCTGTCTGTCTTTCTCTTTCTGTCTTTCTATCTTTCTATCTTTCTCTTTCACTTTCACTCTCTGTCTTTCTCTTTTAAATCTTAATTCACATGTGTTATCGTAATTCGCGTGATGAATGTTTTGTTTTAATTGCTCGAACTTATTTAATCCATGGTAGTTCAGAATATTAGTTAAACAAAAAAAAAAAAAAAAAAACCAAAAAA